TGAAAACACCAAATTTTGGTTTAAATATTATAACAAAAATTAATAATTACTCTAAGAAAACATTTATAAATATTTTAACAATAAAACAAAAACGATTCTTTGGTAAATATACATTAAGATGAAAGTTGACTATACTTCTTCAATAAACCGTGATGTTTACGTGAAGTGCAAGCCTTTGTTTAACAACTTAACAATGATTCTTAGGTACAACGTAACATACTTGCATGATAACAGGGGTAAGCATTCGATAAATTTTGAGTGTGAGTGCCTATAGTATAGGCCCTATACCAAAAATGCGACTTGAGCTGTAACAAAACAAAACAAAAAAATTCTCGAAATTCCGACGTGATAGAGACTTTTGGTGGGCACCATTGGATTCAGGAGGCCATTTTCAGTCGGAATGGCATTTTCACATTTTTGAATTTTTTTTCGGACCCCAAAACTACAATAGTGTAATTAAAGGAGTGCAATAATAATACCTAACCTTTAAAAACTGGAACCAATTCAGGTAAACCCCATGTTCCTAATAAATCTGCTACTTCAGTCCGCTCATCCATATTATTTGTTCGAGATATCTATAAGTAACCAACACATAAGAATATATTCTTATATATGAATAGTTAAAAAGTATGTCGCCACTGAATTTACAGGGGCAAATGACTAATTGTAATAAACTAGTTTCTTACCTAAAATATACACTACAAACGAGCTGATACACAAATATACAAAAGAACAAACACCACCGAAGTCTGGACGCCGTGCAACACCGTTTGTTTACAGGTTAAAAGTAAAGCACGCGCCGGGCTGGACAAATCGCGCGCGAAATGCACAGTTTGCAGTTGCATTAACCTACAGAGACAACATCCTCAACTGACACTTTGTTTCACACCGCTGGTGTCTTAGCTGTATGAAAAGTGACGCATAGTTTATACAACCGAACCGTTAGTTCCACGGACTAATTTCAGTCAGTTGAGAATGTTACTTAAATATTTGGTCCAACAAAAACATTTTACCGCCGAAATGATTTTTTTGAGATAATGTTGTCAATACTTCTAGCCAACACAAAGTTTCAGTTAAAATAACTTAATCGCCTTTTTGCAGTAAATAATACTCAACAACAAAACTAAATCTTTTCAGGTAATGATGCAAGCAGTTACACATATAAAGGTACTGATTACAAAAAACAAAAAATGTTATTTTCTGCAACAGTTTTACCCCAACGATAATAAGTTAGTTACAAATACCAGGTCTTTTCTAAGAGTGTTGTACTATAAAAACTTTTTTGCACGAGGCAACCTGGTCCCAGATTTAGAAGAAACTCCAGATTTATGTGGTCCAGTTCAGAATTTTCCCACATTGATTGTATAGTTAAATTTTATAACCATTAAAGGAAAAAAATACAATTATTTTTTTGTTTATTTTTCTAAATCTCCTTAAACGTCTCCAGCAATTCATATCAAAGTCAGCAATCTCCAATTTATAATTATAGATTACACCTATATTATGCATCCTGGAGACCTTGTAGTTTGCTACTAGACTAACAACAACAATATTTCAATATAATATATAAAAAAATTACAAATCTAAAATTTTAAATACCAAAATCAATTATCTCAATTTACTCAGTTTTAGTCTGAGGGGGAGATTGTTGACTTTGCTCTGACAGGCCTCAATTATTTATGTCATTATGTTGATAGTACAGTGAATCTGACGCAAAGAGGCTGTTAAAAAAAAAATGAAAATAGTATTTTTTTAATGAATCTCAACTTTGCGGGATCCTACCCCCTGCAATTGAGTTAAAAACTCAATTTTTATTTTATTTTTTTGCGGTAAGTTTAAAAAAAAAAATTTTTTTAACGCAGAAGTGTAATTAAAAACATGTTTGTATTGAAAAACGTACTAAATTTATATAAACTTTTGTTCATACGATGTACTGTTTCAAAGTTATAGTCAAGTCAAGTTTGCCCCCTTAACGTGCAAACATCCTCTATTATACATAATAATGTTGGACACATTTTGCACAATTTTGCATACTCCTTCATACATTTTGCAAACACCCGCTTTGGAAATGGCAAGAAAAATCATGGGGGGAAGCAAACTTGACGCTTGTCCCACCCCTTGCTCCTAATTGTGCACCCCTCACTTTAAATTTTGCATACTTCTACTTCATTCCTTAAGAGGTGGCTTTCCGAAAATATCCTCCTAGCCCCCCCCCCACTGATGAAATTCATTGATTTTGTGCTATCATCCCTATAAAAATAAATTAGTCAAAAATTAATAATTGCCATAGCGAAAAAGCCACTAATAATTCTCGTCAATAGCAACTTGTATCCCGATTTAGCAGTTTCCATGTATAATTGTCCCCTGAATCTGAAAATGTCGTCAAAATTTAGAAAAGTAGAACAGTTTTTGAGATACCTATAGTAAATTTTCGATATAATATGGAATTGACTATATCTCAAAAACTGCTATACTTTCATAATTTTTGACGGTATTTTTGGATTTAGGGGACAATTTTACATAAGATTGGGCTGTTAAATGTCGTTTAAATTTTGCAGAATTTTGCACAACTCATTTCAAATTTTGCGCACCACTTTGCCCACCTCAACGGCAACAAAAAAAATTACTCAACCCCCTACTGACAAAATCCACTTTGTTTTTGTGCCCCAAATTTTGCACAATTTTGTGCACCCCTATTGCTAGCCCCAGGGCGTCCCAAAAAATTGTTTCCCAGCCATGTCTTGGTAACGCCAGAATTTGAAAACTAGAATTGGTTTAACACGCCTCACAGTAGGCTAGAGAGAGCTTCCAACGAATTGTGGGAAATTTTGAATTCTTTAATATCTGTAGGTAATAAAACATCTTTAAATCACCTTCAAATCTGTTGAATTTTTATCAGGTAACCAGTGAAAGTTTAGGAATTATAATTACTTACTTCATGTTGATAAATTGCGCGTAAAGGTATTGCTTCTTTTACAATGTTTATTATTAATTTATTCTTACTTTTTGACTATAATTGTATTAAATACTATCATACGTTATGGCTGGAACGAATAATGGTAACTTTTTAATATTATTGTACTGTCACCACCTTAATAAAGTAACCGCTGCATACTTTTAATGTATGTATGGACATTATTAAGGTTTTAAAAAATGTCACTCACTGTCACACTCTGTGTTTAGGTTTTTTTAATAGCTTACCGTTCTGTCTTTCAAATAAATCTAAAATCAAGTGCTAGTAGGCGCAACAAATATAATTTGTTTATTTTTTTCAGTTATACATTATACCTAACTCATAAGGAGCTTTGTGAAAAGTGTTTTAGTTTGAGGCATTTCAATATAAAATTAGTTTTAAATTACTTAGTAGACTACGCATTTACAAAAATAGATGTATCTCGGAAAAAACCTAATTCAAATTTTTTTTTAATATACAAAAACGCTGCAGCTGGAAGCCCAGAAGAAATATCATTGTATTAAAATTAAAAAGCTACCAATAAGAATTAAAAATTTTAAATTAATTACTGATAACTATCAGTGAATATTAATAATTTTTGCCACCACCGCGGTAGGCTAGAGAGCGCTTCCAGCGCGCAGAAATTCCAAATAAGTAAGTCTTTCATTTCGACCAAATTTAGAGGATTTTGAATTCTTTAATATCTGTAGATAATGAAACATCTTTAAATTAACTCTAAATCTGTTAAATTTTTATCAGGTAACCATTCAAAGTTTAAGAATTATAATTACTTGCTTTGTGTTGGTAAATTGCGCGTGAAGGTTTTGCTTCTCTAACAATGTTAATTCCTAATTTATTTTTAATTGTTGACCATCATTGTATTCAATACTGTCATACGTTTTGACTGAATCCAATAATGGTAAGTTTTTATAATTATTGTACTGTCCCTACGTCAATAAAAAAAGCGCTGCATATTTTTGATGTATGTATGAACAATACTAAGGTTTTAAAAAATGTCACGCATTATCACACTCTGTGTTAAGTGTTTTTAATAGCTTACTGTTCTGTCTTTTAAATAAATTTAAAATCAAGTGCTAGTAGGCGCCACAAATATTTTTTGTTTGAAGCATTTTAATAGAAATTTGGTTTTAAATTACTTAGTAGACTATGCATTTACAAAAATAAATGTATCTCGGTATCTATTGCATAGAAATAGTTTATTGTGGGTATGTTCTGTGTTTGGGTATGCGGCTAAACAAAATTATAAAAAATGCCCAAAACCAAAGAAAATCCTCTAAATAAACTCAGCAGTTCGATAAAGGGGACGAATAAGATTTTTCTATTGACGGAAAAAACTTATTTTGTAGAGTTTGCTGTAAAATTGTAAGGACTTTGAGGTTATGTTAAAACATCTTTCAGTTTGTTACTCTAGTAGTAAATTTGGTAAATATCAGGTATTCCCTGTTATATTTTCAGTTCCTTATAGCTTTAATTAACTATTGGTCAGTTTATAAAAAAAATATTTTATGATACTTATTTTATAAAAATAAACGAAACTTGAATTTTAATGTTTTTTTACCTAAAATGCTGTTTTTTTTAACCTAAAATGCTTTTTTTTAGTACCTTTTTAGTTACCTATTTTTCAGTTTTTAGTGCCTAAATATCCCATCTTTAATTATTAGTATTATTAAATGTGATTTCGGATAAAATTTAATATGCACCTCGGCAGTAGTAATTTTTATCACTTAAGTGATAAAAATTACACGTAATTACGTGGTTATTTGCACATTCGTGATAAAAAATATGATTTTACTGCCTTGATACATAACTATTGTTGAATATGTTACCAAATTTAAATTTAATTTATAAGAAATATGTTATATATTTTTCAACACTACTATAAATATTTTTGTATATAATATATATTATATAATATATATATATTATATATATATATATATATATATATATATATATATATATATATATATATATATATATATATATATATATATATATATATATTATTATATATTATTTATTTTAGATATTCCTTTTGGGATGTGTTTTTCTTACCATTGTAACAACAGTTTTGTCATTTCCTGCTGAAGCGACCACAAGAGAATCCATTTCAGATGATACCATAGAATCTACCTTAAATGATCGTAGATATCTTGTAAGACAATTGAAATGTGCCCTTGGAGAAGCACCCTGCGATCCTGTAGGACGTAGACTTAAAAGTAAGTCAATAAAAATATTTTATCTACGCCAGTGAGATAAGAACTTCTTATCCCACTCATTTTGAGTGAGATAAGAAGTTCATTAACGCACGCGTTTTTCTCTGCTTTTAACCAATCAAATAAAAAAGTCAAAATGTCAAAATAACCCTAAATTAAGTCTTAGATAAAAATAATTACAGTTTATTTTTTCATTTAGAGGTGTAGATAAAAAATTTTTACAATATACGTACTTTTGCGATTGCCCAACTCGTGCTACGCACTCGTTGGGCAAATTTCGCTCTTATCCCACTTATATCGTAAATAACTATTAATATTATGACTCACAAAATGGTTCGATAAAAATTATATAATTAATAACAAAATAGATGTCCACCGTAATACTCTCTAGAGAAAGTAGTGAAATGATTGCCAATATAATATGTTTGGTAATATTAATTAAAAATAAAAGAAAGTTTACATCAAGGCATTGGCAAAAAATAAAAATTATGAATTTATTTTTACTTTGTGCTTTGCTAAACAGACGCATACAAAGAAATGGAAAAAGTGGGTGTCGAAAATACTTTATAACTTTTATATTCAAATATCAAATTTATGGGATTATATTTTGACTTGACAAGTAACTTTTTATGGGTTACGGTCGGTCTATAAAAACAAAATTCAATAGACAGAATTTCTACCAAAGGGTTGCAAAAACCATGCGGCCAATAAAGTATAAAAAATATTGAATTTCATATATTTCGGGCGAAATATATTGTCTAAGATAAAGAAAAGAAAAATATGAAAAACAAAAAAGAACACACTTTTACACATTTGTTTTTATATAAATATAATAATTCACTTTTCTAAAAAGTAGACCGCTTAAGGATATAAATTATTGTCAAAAATAAGGCTTTTTCCATGCGACTACGAGCTGGGCTACATTTTATTTATATATATATATACAGTGTGACCCATTTGTTTGCGACTCACCCCTGTAAAATCTTTATTTATTGTGCGATTTTAACCGGATTTGTTTTAAAGTGTAGATCTTGATGAACTATATTTTTGGAGCAAAAAACGCCATATTTTTACATAATATAAGGCCTACTATCAGTTTAAGAGTAAATTTTTAAGAATTCATACTAGCGATTTATTAAAAAATGCAGAATAGTCAAAGTCAGCAAAGATTGGGAAATAATTAAAAAAAAATATATATAAGATTTATTGCAACTTTGAGCATATTATATATCTTAAAATCAAATAATACCACACATCAGTGGCGGCTGGTGGATTTTGGGTATACCAATATCTCAATTATTAGATATGGGACCCACATCAAATTTATATGAGTTTATAATAACATTAAATAAACAAGTTCTGCGCAAGCAGAATTTAAATTAAAGTTTGCGAAAAAAAGATAACCGAAACATCGAACATGGAACTGACGACACGGTACTGATGAATGGGATACAAATTTGAGATTATAATTCGGAATTAAGTATTTTACTGATAATTTTTATTAGTGGATGCTACTTATCAACAAATCACATATAGCTTTATATAAATTACAATGTAATATATATATATATACGTAAATAACTACTTACCACAGTACTGAAATTCGTGCATTCACCACAACTTCGCCGCTTGCATTGTTTTCAAGATGACTGTCGTGTAAGTAATTTTTTACCAACACTTGAGTTAAAACGAGGACTTGACGTTTAAACTTCAATATTTCGCAGGAATTTTGAATCACACTCAAATATTTGATTCAGGAGTTGTGACACGCCAAGGTACTGATGTTTTAAATATATTTATTATGTTTTTCTACAAACGTGCTTTAGGACAAAATACATTAAAATTGGGTGGACAAGTTAAAAAAACCTGCATATTTTGTAATATTCTAAAATATTTACAAAAAATATTTAAATACCTACTCTATTGACTGATGACATCAAGTTGTCCAACTTTTGTAGAATCACCAATATAGGCTAGGATAAAAAAAATCTTAGTTTTGAAGGTTTCACGATTATTAATTACAAAAAAATTAATTATTGTAATTTTTAAATTTTTGGCAGGATGTACAATTTTTTTAAGTTTCTAAATAACTTCTTACCTCTTTATTAAAGTGAAAGTTTGTTTTTAGAGGTAACTTTTTAATCAGAATTTGAGTGTATTGTTTTTGCATGATCGTTGCATTTGCTTAAAAAATCAGGACCACATATATTTTAAATTTTCATATATTGTAAAGATGGTATACCACTACTTCCAAAAGAAATTTCATCTTAAAAGATAGCTTCTAGTATAGCTCCTTGCATAGGTACTGGGCGGAAAGCCAAGGAGCTATGAAAAAATTCATTAACTTTAATGTAACAAAATACTGGTCGTTTTTCAAAAATTTCAAGCGACACATGTCAAAAATCATTGGTGACAGATATCAAAAATGACAGGGTACAGGTGTCAAAAATAATTTATAATAGATGTCAAAAATGAGCTTAGGCAGATGTCAAAAATTAGCCTTGTAAAACAAAAATACGAAACAAAAAACATCTGTTATCTAAAATTATTGACAATTTACGTAGCATTCGTAGATAATAGTTATTTATAAGTAAGTGTTGAAAGTTTTATTATTATGTTTGAAGGGTCACTGGCTACGCTCGTTATCCAATTTTCTTTCTCACAAAATAAAATGAAACTCTTAAAAATTATATAAAAAATAACTTTTATCTATGAAAGCTACGTAAATTGTCAATAATGACAGATAACAGATGCCACCTTATTTTGTTTTGTATTTTCGTTTCATATTGCTCATGTTTACTAGGGTGTGTCATTTTTGAGCAACTTTTTTTTCAACTAAAAAACAGGCTAAAAACTTTCAGGATGGTGAAAAAAGAAGCCTCTTAAAATTGGAGCTCTTAATAATAACATTAAGTGGTGCCTGTTCCTAACTTTCCATTTTCCATTTAAATAACATGGAAAAAACAATTATTTTTTCTTATTTTTGTAGCTTGACATTTGAGCATTGTAAAAACGAACTGAAAAATTATTTTGGTAGGAAATTGAACCCTCTACAAAAGAGTTCTAATTTATTTTTTTATAGAGTAAGCCGTTCTGAAGGTATTCAAACTTGCAAATGTATGAAATTATGACTTTTATTTTATTAAACTAATACTTTTTATGTCCTAAAAATTATTTTAATAAAAAATAATTATTTTCGTATAGGCGAAAATAACACTTACATCTAAATTTTTTTCCATTTTATTTTATTTACTATCAAAAAAAGTTATTTGTGTTCAATAAATTTGTTCAATAATTATAATATATTAAATAAAACAATGAATTTGTTATTGCATTGCATTTTTAATCTATCTTTATTTTTTATAATTTTACCTCAACTAAAGTCGATAACTCTGATAAAAGATTATATCGGCTCAGTCGGTATATTACCTTTCGGATTACACAGTGACTAGAGGCACGCTAACGTGCCGCGATTCGAAATGTTAAAGGCAACTTTAAGTTTGAATACCTTAAGAATATGGCAAGCCGTTTTAGTTTTTATTACACATGGCTATCAAGTCTCATTTTAATTCGACTTGATTTCTATGAGACATTAGATAATTGAAATTATATGTATTTTCCTTAAGGGAAATTACATTTTAATTACAAATTATAAATAAAATTCCTTTTTTAATAAGCATTGAAATTTTGGGTACATTAAATTGAAAAGATTAGATGTAGAGGATGATTTACATTCGAAATTGTAATAAAAATACTAAAACATTTAATTTTTATTTGAAATAATAATAAAAATTATTTTTATGACAAATAGTAATTTTAATGCAAATTTCGTTAAGGAAAGTAGTTTTTATTATAATTAAGAATTTAAATGCATTTCCGTTAACGGAAATGCAATTTCCCTTAAGGGAAATATCATTTCTGTTAAGAGAAATTGTATTTCCCTTAAGGGAAATAGCATTTCCGTTAAGGGAAATTGGCGCCATCTATGAGAGGACGGCTGAAGTTCAAATAATTATTTTTATCAAAATTCTATAAAATGAAATTATTGCACTGTGATTTTACAAAAGATTTATTAGTAAAAAGAATTTTTTTGATTGTTACCTTTTTAATTTAAAAACCAACCATTACACCTGTTCACATCCACCCACAAAATATCACCCACCAGTGTTGCCAGATGTAAAAAGTGAAATTATCGACAAATCATCGACAAATTATTGACAAAATTATCGAATTTTCAGAAAATTGTCACAAAATTTGCATTGATAATGCTATAATAATAGTAATATTAATAATTATGGGTACTACTCGAGAAAACCAAACTCTCCGAATCGAATCGCGATGACACCGATCGACTTTGGAATCGCATCATTCGAATCGAATGTTGTGTGGCAACGCCGCATGTGTAAGGTGTGTTTTAACGTTTCTAATAAAGGTTATTAAAACGAAAAGAAGTAGTAAATAGCAAACTGTAGTAGTAATATTATTCATTATTGTTAGTTGTGTCATATTTGTTGCATTCAAACAAAATGAAAGATTCTGGCATCCCAACCAAAGGCAGAACTCTGTAAGCGGTGGAACCTTCGGCATCTTCACCACAGATAGCGCCACTAATTTCTCTTAAGTGAAATGTAATTTCTGTTAAGGGAAATAGCATTTCCGTTAAGGGAAATAACATTTTCGTTAAGGGAATTGTAATTTTCCTTAACGGAAATAGAAGTTTATTTTTGTTTAGTTAAAAATAAAAGTAATTCGGGCTATTTTTTGTACACATGATCATTAAGTCTCATTTTAATTCGATGTTATTTTCTGATTCTCTAAATATTGTTAGACTCTATGTATTGCGGTTCTAAATTTTATTCGGGAACAACATTTCAATGAGTATTTTAAATTAAAATGTTTTTAATTTTTATGTCATTTAGGAAAGTATAAAACTACTTATATCCTTAAGGAAAAATGCATTTATATTCGTAATAGTAATTTTAATTCGTTTTATTTTAATACTTAGCCTAGTCTAACATAAATAAAATGTAACATTGTATGCAAGTCAGAAGCTACTTTAATAAAATTGAATTAAAATAAAATCCTTTTAATGTGTCATAAAATTGCTCCAAAAAACTAAAACAGTACAAATAATTTGCATTAAAATTATAATTAGTAAATTTAATACAATTTCTGTTAACGAAAATTGCTTTCACGTTAAGGACAATATTTAAAAAAACAATGGAAATAAATACAACAAATGCATTATTTTTACTATTTGTAAAGAAATTATGCTTTCAATTTTGAAATTATAATAAAAATGTAATTTCCCTTAAGGAAAATACATATAATTTCAATTATCTAATGTCTCATAGAAATCAAGTCGAATTAAAATGAGACTTGATAGCCATGTGTAATAAAAACTAAAACGGCTTGCCATATAAGAACGGCTCACTCTATGAAAAAATATATTGAAACTTTTTTGTAGAGCGTTCAATTTCCTACCAAAATAATTTTTCAGTTCGTTTTTACAATGCTCAAATGTCAAGCTACAAAAATAAGAAAAAAGAAAAAAAAAATTTCCATGTTATTTAAATGGAAAATGCAAAGTTAGGAACAGGCACCACTTAATGTTAATATTAAGAGCTGTTTTTTAGTTGAAAAAAAAGTTGCTTAAAAATGACACACCCTAATGTTTACATCTATTATATCTTATTTTTGACAACTGTTACCTTTTATTTTTGACATCTGTCACCTAAATCATTATTTTGACATGTGTTACCTGAAAAACGACCAGTTTTTAGTCACATAAGAGTTTTTTTCTCAGCTTCTAGGCGGAAAGCCAAGATAATTTACAACATGTACTCCTGATCAATCATGTCAAAAACATTTTTAATTTTTTTGGCAGATGCAATGCTTATGCAAAAACAATAGAAGATAAACAAATTCTGATTACATTTTTTAAATCTGCCTAAAAAGTTACCCTTAGAATCAAATTAATTATTTGTGCAGGTTAAGGAGTTATTTAAGAAATTAAAAAAAATATGACGCATCTAGCAAAAAAATAAAATATTACATTTATTAATTTCTCTCTCACAAACTTTTTCCATTATTGTGTTTGATTTGATTTGCCGTGGAATGACCCTAATATAACTCCATATAAAATTATAACAACATAAATTTAAAATATTAACTGCTTTCTAATTTAATATTTTTTATATAGAAAATAATATACAAATAAAAAATGACACAAGTTTTAATGATCAATTTTGTTTTATTTTATTTTAGGTTTGGCACCGTTGGTTTTGCGAGGCTCGTGTCCACAATGCACTCCGCAGGAAACGAAGCAAATACGAAAAGTTCTCAGTTTTATTCAAGTGAACTATCCGAAAGAATGGAACAAAGTTTTGCAGCAATATTCCGGCTAATTGTTCAAAAATCCAACTTATTTATTTTTATTTGTATATTTATAAACGAAATTAAATAATTGCAAATGCACATGCACACTGCAGAATTTTGTACAGTTGTTAAATATTGTGTTATTTTTAGAATAATTTTATTACGAAAATAAATTAACACTCTGTTTTTATTGTTATTTAAATAAACGTTTCAGTGTTTACTTTGCTTGGCTTTGCGCTTATTTCACGATATATTAAATATACGGGCCTATAAAGTTAAGGGTAGGCATAAAAGTTTTTACATTCTGATGCAAATTGAGTAGCCTTGTATGCAAATGAAAAATTTTATATTTAAATTATTTCAAAATTTTACTCGGTTCATAGTACTCTTGTATTTATGTTAATTATGTTTTAAATAAAAATAATATACATCTAAGGGAATAAAATTTAATGTTGTGTTTATAAAATAAATTAGTAAATCCTTTAAATCTAATTTCTCTAAAAACATGTTTATAAAATATTATTTGAATAAATTAAACATTAAAAACAAAATGCTTCACATTTAACGTTCTATGATCTTTTATTTTAAAGAATTTTACACAGGAAATTAATTTCTGTTTTTAAAATAAATAAGAAAATCTTCATAATTTTGGAGGCGTACAGTTAACGTACTCTAAGTACTCACCAAATATGGGGAATTACTTAATATGTTATTTTTAATACATAATATGTATTCTTTACCAAAAGAACAACGTAATAAATAAAAAATATACAGGTACCATACTCTCTAAAAATGAAATAGTCAAAATTCTACTATTTGAATTAGTACCAGCATTTTTACTAATAAAATAGTCGTTTTCACTTTTAAATAGTTATTTTTTTACTACGTAAATAGTTAAAGTTTGACTAATTTAAGATTAGTCACCATCTTTGACTATTTCGGAGAGTTAAAAGTAACTAATTTCTTTAATCGTTTGCGGCCAACAACAAAGTATTATTTGAATTAAACGCATATACCTAAGCTCCATGGTTAAATGCCCCATAAAAACGAATAAAGATGCAAAAAGTTTAGCTCAAAACAGCAACACAACTAATATATTCAACTTTTAAATATTATGAACAATATTTATCGACAAATAAAATTGATTTTTATAAGAGCGGCTGATAGCCGAATGGGTTATGACAACAGCTTAACAAGCTTGACAGACCTAAGTTCTACCCCCGGATGGGTCAAAACTTTTTATAAATTTAAATCTACTAATTTGACAATTTCATTTAGTAGAATTTGACTAATTATTAGTGACTGCTTTTTCGCTATGACAATTAGTAAAATATGACTTATAATTAGTTATTTTTGACTAATTCATTTTAAGAGAGTACCTATATTTTGGTAAAAATAAGGTTGAAATTATTTTATGTCTGTTCTCTCTTTCTAAACGTTTGACATTTTATTTTCTTTGTCTCTTAATTTATACCCAAATCAGGTATTAAATTCTTATTGCTAAAAATAGTCATGCTTTCTAAATATTCTAGTGTTTAAAATAAATCTAAAAAACTTTTCTAAATTACTTTGTAATGATTTGGAAGACTACTTTATCCTATAAAATTAATAAAATAATATACAGCCCGTTCAGAGTAAAACCGAATATATCTATATATATATATATATATGGGGCGTGGCCTCGCCTCCCTCCAAGGCGCGTCACAGTATAAACGACATGACGAAAGGTCGAGCAGATAAAAAATTAAATGATAATAATGCAAAAAATCTCATTAGCGATGCAGGGAGGCGAGGCCACGCCCCATATATATAGATATTCGGATTTACTCTGAACGGGCTGTATAATAAAATTCGTTATACGAGAGAAAAGATTTTTGTAAAAAATGCTCGAACAGGTAAAATTTAGTTTTTTATTTCAATTATATAATTTTAAATTTTTTGCCCCCACCATTTTCCCCGCCACATGCACATCTATCTTAAATAACCACTCCACTTTTTTCATCTAAAATTGATAGTGCATATTTTACTGAGTACGACGATACCCCAGGGTTAAAAACATAGTTTTCAATACAGGGTAATTTGTTATTGTTATCCTATGCCTATGTTTTTTGTGTTGTGGCTTTCGCTATTCATGTTTTTGTCACTTAGTTATTGTTTGATTAACATGTTACATAAAATTATCATAGTGGCCCGTTATACTACCATAAAATCTAACATCTGTCTACTGGATTTTACCTTACTATCTTTCAATTAAATTATTTGTCCTTTATTTATTTAAAAGGGGTAAAATTTCATTCCAAATAATATGTAAACAATGAATCTGTATTATGAATATATTCCATAATACAGAATCTGTACCTAAAAAATTAGTGTAATTTATTGTTTACAATTATCTTCTTTACTTGTGGAACAGAATGTTCATTGTAAAACTAGTGTATAATGTCTTAATTCCAAGTGAGGACGGGACAATAGTACATTATCCAACAGGCAGAAAAAGCCGAGCTCGGTCACTGAGCCTCAGTGTTGCCGAGGCCTTAGCTGAGCCTGCAGATCTAAGCCAGATAATTAATATGCTTTCTCCGTCGTGTTGTATGTACATTTTTTTTATAAATCTGTACTTATAAGTATAGTATATGTATACAATGTATACTATACATTGAAATTATTGACCTTTGTCATATGTTATAATCAAAGCTGGGAAATATCTAAGATTAAAATTACAATTGAGGGGCTTAGAAGTAAAACGGTTCAAGTGCACTTTTTTAAATAAACGGCACTGTGCAGAAGTGCAGAATATTACACCTAAAGAATATTCTAACTTAGTGGTAAAATTATTTCTTATCGTCTTTAAAAACCTGTCAAAATATTTTAAAATATATCTTTGGTAAAACGATTTAAGTGCACCTTTTACTGCTCAATATAGGCTATTATCTATGCTGCTAAAGCCTTGACAAGTAGCTCGTTTCGACATAGTGTGACCGGGGTCGGAACGACATCGGCCAGCGTTACGATTATGGCATCGTTCCAGACTGATGAGGATTCAACATAGTAACTATGTTCCTGACATCAATGAAGAAGTAGAAGAAGGCCATGTAACTCCTGCAAAAACTAAAAAAAAGCCGCTAAGCACAAAAATTTACTTAGGTACCTTATTGGACTATATTCCGACAATTTACCACTTATTTTATAAAAACATAGAGCATGATCGAGATCCATCAGAAAAAAAGAAAAAAAATAAACAAACTTAGACCATAGTATTGAGCCAAAAAAATCCAATTTAGGTCAACCCCAACCAAGACCAGCTAATTCAGATGAAGAAAACGTTGTATTAGATTCTGATTATGAATAATACTTTTTGTTGTAAAACTTAAGTTTACCCAAAATTTAAAAAATAAAGTTTTGTTCTAGTACAGTAATTGCATTTAAATCATTTTACCACTAAATTTTGTCTTACATGCATGAAGATTCAAGTACATTTTTGTAAAAAAAATAACAAAAAACCGAAATTGAAAAATTTCTTTTTCTTTTAACAAAACTAAAATATTCACACAGTTTTTTAAACTAACAAAAATGCACTTAAACCCTTTTACTTCTAGGCCCCTCAATTATTTTCCTTAATACCTACTCAAAGTATCTTAGGATATCTTAAGATCCTAATTAGGATACTTTATTTTAAATACTTTTAAATTTTAGTATTTATACTTAATATTTTAGATACATACTGAAAGTATTTGTATCCAGTATTTGAATTATTTTAAATGCTTTTTTCTAACCTAACTTACTTTACGAACCGCTTTTTATTAGTCAAAGCATTACACTTCGTTGTCAATAAAATAAAGAGAAAGGAAGGAAATTAGTAGTTTTTTATTAAGTTTGAATGTATTATTTAAAAGATATTGGAATAGGGAAGTAATTGTTAATTTAAAATAAACTAGTAAAACTCTAAAAATAATGTCGTTTTTATTTTACTTATAATTTATAAGCTTTATTTACTTTTGTCAAAAGAAGCCCTCAGACCAAAGTTTCATTTACTTACTATAAGGGCACGTTAATACCTGGAGTACGAGGCAAAAATTAAAATTCCCTTGAAAAAAATTGAAAACTCCTCCAAAAAAACTACTAATATTATTTTGTTTACAATGTTTTAAATTTGTTTTGAATGGTTTTAGTTCCTGAAATAATTATTTATTTTACATATTTTATGTTTTATGTTTTATTGTATTATTATTTATTATTTAATAGTTACTGTCAATCCTGTTTTCATATATGCTAAACAGAAATTAATTAGGTACCTAACATTTTTAATAATCTACAATCACTACTTTCAAAGTATCAGATTTCACTTGTGTGCTTTTATTTACTTTTCCTTTAAAAGTATCTGTTAGGTTTAAAAGATATCTTAAACACTTACCTACTGTACCTACTTTAAATACTTTTAGGATTTTTTTGAAAACATCTTATATCTTTTTTTAAATAATTTGGAATCTAGTATTTAAATACTTTTAGAAAGTATCTTTTCCTGGTTCGCGATAGATGGAACCAATCGTCCTATGTAATTTCAATGTATTTTTATTATTGTACGACGTGGTATAATAATGTAGCAAGTACGGCTCTGGATCTCGGAATGATGACTCATCGGCGATGAGTCATCGCCGGTGACTCAGCGCTCGAATAATCGAGAGTGCGGAGCTCGCTGGAATGTTCTAGAGGACGTAATACTGTAATATATAAGGAACGACGCATCACAGAGCAGTCAGTTGAGCTTTGGTACGCGCGAAGAAATAAATAAATATAAGTGCAAATAAATAAACTAGTAGTGATATAAATAATTAGTAGTTAAGTGTTTAGTTAGTTTTATAGTGTTTTAAGTGTAGTTAAGTTATTAAATAAATAGTTAAGTTCGTTAATTAACCAGTGCGTGTTTTTATTCACACTACGAACAGTTAAAAACGTTACAATTGGTGTCAGGAGTGCGGTTAGTGTGAAACTTCGCGAAAATGGTTTCGTTAATGGACTTAAAAGTGGCGGACCTTAAGCGAGAGCTAGAAGAAAGAGAATGTGAAACAACTGGAAAAAAGAATGT